AAAGATTGCCAGGTCTTTGTCCTTTGGAGTCACTGGTACGTTTGAGCCGTCACCTTTGTGGCAAGTTGAGTCATAGGGTTACCAGGGCATCTTACCCACAGGTATGTAAGTTAGAGTTTGTTGTTGTTGTTAAGTGCCGTCGAGTCAGTGCTGACCCATAACGACCCTGTACAGGGTTTCCGAGGCTATAAATCTTTACGGGAGCAGAACGCCTCATCTTTCTCCCTCAGAGCAGCTGGTAGTTTCGAACTGCTGACCTAAAGGTTCACAGCCCGATTGGTAACCACTACGCTACCAGAGCTCCTTTAGGTGCCATCAAATTGGTTCCCACTCAGAGCGACCCTATGTACCATAGAATGAAACGGTCCAGTCCTGTGATGGCCTCACAATTTCTGTTACGCTTCAGCTGGCTGCTGCTGCCACGGTGTCAATCCAGCTCCTGGAGGGTCTCCCCCACCCCCACCCCCCGCTAGTCCTGGTGTAGCGCTGTGGGTTAATGCGCCAGACTGCAAAGCCATTTGAACTGCAAGGTCGGCGGTTGAAACTCACCAGCTGCTCCTCAGAAACCCTATACAGGGTCGCTCTGGGTCGGAATGGACTCAACGGCACTTGACAACAACAGTCCTCCACTCACCACGCATAATGTCCTCCTGCAAGGACTGGTCCCTCCTGACGACATGAGAAATAAAGTTTTGCCATCTTGACTTCCAAGAAACATTCTAGCTGCACTTCTTCCACCACAGATGTGTTTGTTCTGACAGTCCATGGTACTTCGAACATTCTTCTCCAACATCATAACTCAAATGCAACAACTGTTTTCCAGTCTTCCTTATTCACTGTCCAGCTTTCGCATGCATATGAGGTTATTGAAAATACCATGGCTTGGGTCAGGTGCACCTTAGTCCTCAAGCTGACATCTTTGCTCTTTAGCACGTTAAAGAGGGCTTGCGTGGCAGATTGCCCAAATGCAATACATCGTTTGATTTCCTTGCTGTTGTTACTTTCATGAGTGTTGATTGCGGATCTAAGCACAATGCAGTCTTTGATAATTTCAATCTTTTCTCCATTCATCATGAGCATTTTTGTTTTCTTTACATTGAGGTGTAATCCATATTGAAGGCTATGGTCTTTGACTTCATCAATACGTATTTTAAGTCATCTTCCCTTCTAGCAAGTATCATCTGCGTATCGAAGGTTGTCAATGGGTCTCTCTCCAATCCTGATGCCATGTTCTTCCTCATATAATCCAGATACCCAGATTATTTGCTCAGCATACAGGTTAAGTGAGTAGAGTGAAAGAATACAGCCCTGGCACATGCCTTTCCTGATTTTAAACCATATTCTGTTTTAGCAAATGCCTCTTGGTCTCTGTACAGGTTCTTCATGAGCACAATTAAGTGTTCTGGAGTACCCATTCCTTGTAATGTTATCCATAGCTCGTCAAAAGCCTTTGCATAGTCAATAAAGAACAAGTAAATATCTTTCTGGTATTCTTTGCTTTCAACCAAAATCCATCCGATGTTAGCTGTGATAGCCCTAGTTCTATGTCCTCTTCTGAACATGATTCGAATATCTAGCAGTCCCCTAGTGATGCAGTGTTGCAGTTGTTTTTGAAATATCTTCAGCAAAATTTTACTTGCATGTAAAATTAATGATATTGTCCTATGATTTCCGCATTCTGTTGGGTCACCTGTCATTGGAATGGGCACAAATACAGATCTCTTCTAATCAGTTGGCCAATTAGCTGTTTTCCAAATTTCTTGGCATAGATGCGTGTAATACTTATGCTTTTGAGTCAACTTGAGTAGGCCAGAATTCCCAGTGGTTTAGTAGTTACAAGTTAACCCTATGATGATTAGCTATGAGCAGGTATAATTAGCTCTATGATGATTGGCTATGAGCAGCCAATCAATTAAAAGGATGTTTCCTTGGGGGTGTGGCCTGCTCCCAAGACAATGGGCACTTAAGAAATGATCTTTCTCTCTCTTCTGCTGGGGACCTGGGACTCTACAATTATAAACCATTTCCTTGATAGAAATATATATATAATTTCACTGGTTTTACTTCTCTAGAAACCCAGCCTAAGAGAATGAGCGAGCATCAACCATTTCTTTTTGGTACAGTAACTCTGTGCATTCCTTCCATCTTCTTTTGGTGCTTTCTGCATCATTCAATATTTTGCCCATAGAATCCTTCAGTATTACAAGTTGAGGCTTTAATTTCTTCTTCAGTTCTTTCAAATTGAGAACTGTTGAGCGTGTTCTTCCCTTTTGGTTTTCCAGGTCTTTGCATATTTCATTATAATCCTTGACTTTTCATCTTCTTGAGCTGCCCTTTGAATTTTTCTGTTCAGCTCTTTTGTTTTGGTTGATGATATTGAGCTTTTCTACTATCTCTTCCCACAAACGCAGTCGATTTGATCTCTAAATAGTCCATCTGTTGAGGTCCATATGTATAGTGCCTTGTACGTTGTTTTAAAAGGGCATTTGCAATGAAAACTTCATTGGTCTTGAAAATTTCTATCGTGGGATCACCAGCATCATTTCTATCACCAAGGCCTGTTTTCCAAGTACTGATCCTTCCTCTTTGTTTCCAACCTTTGCATTCCAATCACCAGTAATGATCAATACATGTTGATTGCATGTTTGATCAATTTCACACTGAAGAAGTTGGCAACATTCTTCAATTTAATCATCACTGGCATTAATGGTTGGTGTGTAAATTCGAAGATAGTGGTATTAACTGGGCTTCCTTGTAAGGCTATGGACATTCTCCTATCTCAGACAACACTGTGCTCAAGAGTTTTTTTCAAAAATCTCTATTTGTTTCCCCATGGGACATTCCATTACCTTTTATTTATTTTTCTATTTAAAATTTTTATTGTCAATTGAGTGTTTTGCAGAGCAGATCATCAGTTTTACATTCAATAAGCCAGCACTTTGCTTGAATTGTTGTTGTTGTTGTTGTCATGTGCCGTGGAGTCGGTTCCGACTCATAGCGACCCTGCACAGGGTTTCCGAGGCTGTTAATCTTTACGGGAGCAGAACGCCTCATCTTTCTCCCGCGGAACCGCTGGTAGTTTCGAACTGTTGACCTTACAGTTCGCAGCCCGATTCGTAACCACTACGCTACCAGAGCTTGAATAGATGATTGCAATCCCCTCCGAGTACCAACAGGTAACAGTCTTTACCTCTATTCAGTTTAGCTATTGCATTCCTCCCTGCGTCTCCTGCTACCTTCATCTTTCCTCTGATAACCTCCCTCTTGTTTGTCTGTTGCCTGCCCTGTCACTCATGTTAACATGTGTCTACTCTCTAACCTGTGAATAATCTCCCCCACCACCACCACCATCACTGTAACCATCAGAGGGTGCTTTCTTTTATGAAGAAAACCTTTTTTTCCTTTTAAGTTTTTTACAACATTGGTCTAATACAATGCTTGTCCCTTTGCGATTGACTAATTTCACGCAGCATAATGTCCTCCAGGTTCAACCATGTGGTGAGGGGTTTCACAGATTCATCCTTATTCTTCAGTGTTTTGTAGTATTCCATTGCATATATCCCGAAGTTTGTTTAACCATTCTTTTGTTGATGGGCATTTAGGTTGTCTCCATCTTTTTGACTTGTCTCTTGTAGACAGCTTATTGAAGGATCCTATTTTCTTATCTATTCTGCTCGTTATCAATCTTGATTGGTACATTTAATCCATTTACATTCAGTGTATTTATTATTATGAGTTGATTATTGTCATTTTTCTGTGTGTGTTTTTGTGGCGCTGCTGGATTCTTTGTTCCACATAATTTTTTATGCTGAGCTCATTTTCTTTTAATTTCGGTTGTATTAATCTTTACTAGATCTGTTTTTTCTCTTTTTATTTTGATGTGCAGGTATATTATTGTTCTTAAGGTTAGCCTGTAATTTATTATTTTTTTCTCTACTTAAAAGAGTTTGTTTTCTCTTGAAATCTACTTGATTTTCTTGCCATTTGGAAGTTCTTTATCTACACTATTCCCTCTTTTTGCTTTGTAGTTGACTTCATTACACATTGGTATTTCTAGCTCCCTGTTTTCAGTCTTGTAGGTTTGTTTTACTTTAAATTCTTCTATAGCAGCTAACAACAACAGCATATCTGGACTGAGTTCAGGGTGGTGATGTCATGAATGAGAATCTCAGGTTGCTGTCTGCCATTGTTGGTTCTCAGTCCAAAGACTGCAAAGTTGTTCTGATCATTACAAATTCCTTTAATTTCTGTTTATCAAGGTATGTTCTAATTTCACCATTGTATTTGATGGACAGCTTTGCTGGGTATATGATTCTTGGTTGGCAATCTTTTTCTTTCAAAGTTTTGTGTATGTCATCTCACTGCCTTCTTGCCAGCAAGGTTTCTGCGGCAATCAAAGCTAAGCCTTATTGGTTTTTTCCTTTGTAGGTCACTTTTCATTTTTCCCAAGCTGCTCTTAGAATTCTTTCCTTGTCTTTGATTTTGGAAAGTTTCATTATGATATGTATTGGTGATTTTCTTTTGGGATCTATCAGCTACTTGTATATTATCTTCTCATCTCTCATGATGTTAGGGAAGTTTTCTTCCAACAACTCTTTGCCCATTTTCTCTGTGCTTGTCTCCTTCTGTTCTAAAATTCCAATCACCTGTAAGTTGCGTGTCTTCATGAAGTACTGCGTAACTCTCAGGCTTTCCTCAGATTTTTTTTATTCTTTTTTTCTGATTGTTCTTCTAGCATACTAGTATTGGGAGATTTCTCTTCAAGAAAGATCTGGAAATGTTTTTGTTTTGTTTTGATGATGAATGCTCCACTATTCCTCTTCAATTTGTTGTTCCTGGCACAGTAAACTGTATGATTGCATGAATCAAAGCAGCCACTCCCAGTCCATTTCAGCTCACTTATGCCTACGATGGACTCCTGGTGAAGCACTGTAGGATCAGCAATGGACTGCAAACAGCAAGGTTGGCAGTTCAAACCTACCAGCTGCTCCTCAGAAACACTATAAAGGGTTGCCATAAGTCAGAACCACGTCAACAGCACTTAACAACAAAAACAATGTCTAGGATATTGATGTTTATGCGTTCCATTTCATTTTTGACAACTTCTGATTTTCCTAGATTCATATTTCATACATTCCATGTGTGATTCTTAATGGATGTTTACAGCTGTTTCTCCTCATTTTGAGTTGTGCCTCATCAGCAAATGAAGGTCCCAAGGACTTTACTCCATTCGTATCATCACGGTCACCTCTACTTTGATGGCACAGCTCTTCCCCAGTCTCATTTTGAGTGCCCGCCGACCTCAGGGGCTCACCTTCCAGCACTATATCTGACAATGTTCTACAGCTATTCTTGAGATTTTCCATGGCTAAACATTCAGGAGTAGTCTGTCTCTCCTTCTTCCTAGTCTGTCTTATTCTAGAAGCTCAGTTGAAAGGTGTCCACTGTGGGTGACCCTGCTGGTAAGTGGCATAACTTTCCACATCACAGCAACACACAAGCCACCATAGTACACAGACAAGCGGTGAAAGGTTAGGGTTTAGAATACATACTTTCCTTAATTTTAAGGGAACAAAATTCAATCCCGCCCAGAGCAATTCTAAAGTCACTGATTTCTGCTCACCTGTGTCTGCAGTCCTAGGGGGAGAGAGCTCAGGTGAGCAGGCTTGGGAAAATACCACTAGGGGAACCCCACTGCCACCTTCCACTCCACACCATGGTTTCAAGGTGCCCCAAGCTATGAGTGAAAGCAAAGATGGGCAAGTACCTGGTAAAGGGGCGCAGTCGTGGGCCGGCTGTTGTAGCAATAGTCCTGGCTGGAGTGGGGTTGGTATGCAGCGTACCCTGATGCTGAGTGGGGCCCAGGTGGCTGGGCGGCTGCGGGAAACGATGGGGTCACAGTATGGGCCATTCCAGACGTGGACTGTATGGTACAGCTGGCCCCGGCGGCTGGGCGGGATAAGGTCATCAGAGACTGGGTGCTGGAACCATAGGGAGACACAAGACCCAGTTGCGTCACAGCCGAGTTCTAAGTAGCACTTGAACTGCAGGAATGAATCCCGCACAGTGCTTATGTTAGTATACAGGCAATCCCCGACTTAGGACACAGTCACGTGAAGAACTGCACTTACAACCGTTTCAGGGGTACATCTTGTATCATTAGTCATACAAGGAGCTCATGAAAAAATCAAATTAAATCATAATGGCATTTCCCTACAAACCTTTTGAAGGCCCCTGTATGTACTACAGCATGTAATTTGCTGATTTTCTCTTTCTCAGAAGTTCACGCGAAGATGTTCAGTGTTACGATTTACTGATCAAAACGCTGCCATAAAGCAGGGTGTGGTCTGGGCTACAGTGGAGCCGTAATGTATAGAAGTTGAGCAGTGTTCGCTTCTGACAACGTACGACGATGAAATCGCGCATGTGCCTGACAGTTGCTCAACTATGCCCATTGTTACAGTACTGATGCCGACAAATCAAGATTTATAAAGATACTGATGATAAAAGGCAATAATAATGAAAACTGAAAAAACTAGAGGTAGATGTCTTACATCAGTATCGACGTGGTCGGATGGAATTGCGGAACGGAATCCCATCTGAGTCAAAGATGACCTGTAAAAACTTCTGTCAAAGTTCTGTGAGCTGAGGCCCCGCTTTAAGTATGTGTTAAAGGGTCACTCAATCTCACAAGCCAGTGGGGGTAGGGATGGTCATTGTCCCTGTCACAGAGGGATCACTAGACGCACTGTCCGTGGACAGATCTGGGCTCCAACCCCTTCTAGCTTTGTGGTTGTTGTTAGGTGTCGCCCAATCGATTCTGACTCATGGTGACGGCATATGTCAGAGGAGAACGGGTCCGTAGGGTTTTCAATGTTGTGACCTTTCGGTAGCAGATCACTAGACCTTTCATCCCAGGCTCCTCTAGGTGGGTTTGAACCACTGACCTTTCAGGTGAATAATCCGGAACTTAGCTGTTTGTGCTGCCCAGGAACTCTTCATTTTCCTGCACGAATGCTCACATTACCCACTGTGTGGCTGCCTCAGCATTGACAGTCTTCAAAGAAATGTGAACTTAATGGTATTTTCTAACCAAATAACCTGATGCACCTATTGTTAAAATCAGTGGATAAGAGACTTCCAGCGGCACTTCCCTGACCAGCAAGACAGGTACGTGAGCTCGGGAGAAATAGGGGGCAGGGTCACAATAAGGGCCCCAGCCTGGTAGACAGCTTTTGGGCAAACATAAAACACTAGGCGGCAACTTTATGAACTTGGTTTTTTAAAAGAACTATTGAGACGTTTAGAGCATTTTTAACCCCCACCCGCCTGCTCCCGGTTCTTACTGGGGGTGGGGTGGGGGGTAAGGCTCTGCCCACTGCGGAACCTAACAGGCCCTGAGCAGATGCTCTCAAAAGGAGGACACTCTCAGAGAACCAGTGAGCCTGCAGGAACCAACATAGTCCATCCCTGGGGGGTCCTCATAGCCACATTAAGCATTACCGGTGAATATATAGGGAAAATTGGGGGCCCAAGGCACAGGGGGACAAAGAGGCATTTTAGACGTCATCAAAAACAGACCCCATCTGCCTACAAGCACGAAGCCCATCCCCCATCTCTTCAGCCTAAGTTAACTCTCTGCTCAGTCTCAGAGACAGCCAAAGTGCCCATCAACTGAAGAATGGATAAACAAATTGTGGTACATATACACAATGGAATATTACGCTCCATTGAAGAATAACAAGGAAGCGGTAAAACACCACATAACATGGATAAACCTTGAGGACATTATGCTGAGTGAAATTAGTCAGTCACAAAAAGAGAAATACTGCATAGGA